GGCGAGAATTCTATATTATATGAAATTCCTAGGAGTATTTTCTCGGCCGAGAGCTCGGGCGGTTTCACACCTATATTCGACTAATATAGGACTTCTGTCTGCAATGTTATATCCAGTTTGGTATGATTAGGATTTGTCTACTTAAGTAGATTCAATGGCCTTTCCCAAAATTTAATTTATCATTTTAGCATTTCGGTTTGTATGGTCCATTAAATATACGCTCGATGTGTTACCCATAACAATGTGCTCGTCTACGCACTCAAGGTTTCTGGTGTTGTTTGTGGCGTCACGCACCTGTTGTCTGTTCTGTTGCCCTGTTTTTTGTTTTCTCTGGTGTGTTTTGGGATGAGGTATTGTTATATGGTACTTGTTGGCGGGTGTGATTCCAGTTTTTGACTTTAACATATCTCCGTGTCTCGCTGTGAAGTCAAGTACCCAGGGTTTTCAGTTAAGGAGCATAAGTATAAATCCATATAGGTGCGATTATGGATTTCTGATAATTTAGATTTCATTGTTTTGCCATCGAAAACTTTTAGCTTTAGTAGGACAGATGACGTGATTCATTTTATATCAGTCCCACATTTCATTCCTTTATGTTTGCTACTTGAAGGAGTGAGTTGTCATGTTAACTCCTCCTTGTTTTATTTCTTTAATATTATATTTTCGGTGGTCGTTTTTGGGACCCCAGACACACAGTCTCTATGGGGTTTTGGGTGGGTGACTGTACTAGTGGAAGCGCAGAGAAGTGTGTAAGACAGCAGCTCTGCTTCCTGGTCCCAACTCTGGATTGTCAGGATTTAGAAATAAACTTCGCCATATTCCTGGATAAGAGAGCGGCTCCATCCAAAGTGGGATGGATGCCGTCTCTCCTAATCAGACAGCTGGTGTTGATGAAGAAGTATTTGAGATCGTGACAGGGTTGTGGGGGGAAAGTCTTATAAATAAAAAGGCTTGGAACCACTGCTCTAGGTCAGTTGATATTCAGGCCCCTCTGGTAACTCTTCAGCTGCTGCTCACCCCTCCCTCCAGCATTGACAAGAAATGGCTGCAGTTCTTTTAAACTGCAGGAAATCTCCCTGTGGAGGGAAAGTGCAACTACGTTTGTCAAACCTGCAGGCATTGCTGCACAAAGTCCCCCTCCTCTTAAGGATTTACAAGAAATGGCAGCAGTCCACATGATACTGCGCTGCTCCCCTTATCAAATGAAAATGAAACAGCACTGTTACAATGTGTGCAGACCTCTGGAGATTCACATTCTAAGTTGACAATCACACAATGGTTCTTATATTCAGGTGATTATACACTGATGAAAACATAGCTATGTATAATATATTCCATTTCTGATAATAGATCCTGAATTAATATTGCACTTTTTAACCTCTCATCATTAAAAAAATCAGAACTTTATAGTTTACTTTAACAGTTTCAAATATTGATCCATAATTAGAC